AAATGCAGTAGCAGCAACATCAAGATTCGTTAATATGGCCGTATGCTATTTATATGAAGAAATACGATATGAATTGAATGGTGTTGAGATTGATCGAAATAAAAATGTTGGTCTTACAAGTCTCATAGAGGGATATCTATCTCTTCATCCAGCTCAAAAAAATTATTTAGATAATGCAGGTTGGGTAACTGATAATGAAAGATTATTCAATAATAATGGATACTTTGATGTTTCGATACCGTTACATATGCTATTTGTTTGATTTGCTGAAGATTATCATCGCATAATTGTTAATGCCAAACATGAATTAATACTTACTCGTTCAAATACCGATCTTAATGCAATTGTACAAGCTACAGCGGAACTTGAAGAGACGATCACGCTCATTAAAATTAAATGGATTATTCCTTATGTCATTGTTGCAGACATAAAAAAAGTAGAATTGTTAAGAAACATTGCAATAGACCCACCGATTCCAGTGAGTTTTAGATCATGGGAATTATATGAATATTCAATGCTGCCGAACACAACCAAACACGTATTGGTCGTAAAAACATCAACTCAATTGGAAAAGCCCCGCTATGTTATATTAGGATTTCAAACTGCACGCAAAAATGATGCTACAAAAGATGCAAGTCATTTCAATCGTTGTGATTTAAGAGATGTAAAACTTTTCCTCAATTCACAATGCTATCCATACGGCAACATGAATCTTGACATAAGTCACAATCAATTTGCCTCATGATATAATATGTATAAAGATTTCCAAACATCATATTATGATAAAGAAGCAGAACCTCTACTCACGAAAAAAAAAATTTATAGATATAGCACCACTCGTTGTAATTGATTGTTCCAAAAGAAATGAAATCAGGACCAATTGATGTTCGACTGGAATTTGAATCATCAAAATCTTTTCCTCATAACACATCAGCCTATTGTTTGATCTTACATGATCGAATAATAGAGTATAAACCTTTAAGTGCGCAAATGAGAAAACTAACATAAAGTATTGTAAAAAATATGTATATTATATAATTATAATTATATTACTCATGCATTGATCAAATTTTTTTTTGCTATAAAGAAATTGTGTACACGAAATAGATTACTGTTTTCATTCATTTATTTTCAGAAAAACCCAATAGTCGGTAACACAAATTTGAGAGAATATTGATACATTGACAAAACTTTGAAAATCAGTTATTTTTTGCTGATAGTAAAATTTTAATCGCGGTTGGTAAAAAATCGGTATTATCATTAAAGATAATTTATCGAGGTCCGTAAAAAAAATCACAATTAATTGCTGCCGACAATTAATCGTCAAAAAGTTATCGCAATCGGTATTATCGCTAAAGATAACTTATCGAGGACAGTAAAAATCGATATTATCACTGTCGATAACCTATCGCAGTCGGTAAGTCGATAACCTATCGTTGAAGTTATAGTGGTCGGTAATTAGTGCGGATCAGAACCCACTTTTTTGACTTGGCCGGTTTTGCAGAGTGATCCAGAACCGGCCCTGCTCATCTACTGTTGTGAAGTTTGTAATCAGAAGAATTAAAAAGGTTTTGTTAGATGTGTTATAACGAAAAATAAAAAACAATTTTTCAGACATAATTTATGTCATTTCATTCATGCAATCGATTTTTCTCAATTATACAGGATTAATAATAATATTATATTTTTCTACCATTTGGAATTTGTAATTAAAATTTCTGTCTCGAGCTGCTTCTTCCCATCATCCTTATCTGGCTGCTCTGTAAGCATAAATCCATGTGTGCATTACGTGTATTTTCGGTTGAAGATTAAATTGAACAGATTATCGTTTCATCATAATCATTTTCTTATTTGTCCACTCAAAGGTTTGTAATCAACTGTTCGATCATGGATGATCAAGCAGTATGCTGACGTATTATCGGGTATAGATTGTAGATTCAAATTCGATTCGCACATCAACAGGTCCAGATTTTAATGATTCATTTTGTTTTGAACAATCGATGACAATCAAAGGTGCTTCGCCGATAAATTGTTCCTTTGTGAGAAGAGGTCGTGAATCGTTGGGATAATATGATTCTTGGAAATTTTTGTACATATCATATAATAATAGAATCTTCTGAAATGACTGGAATCTTTTATTGCATGATTTTTTCGTGCTGTTTGAAATGCTAGTATGACATATCTTGGTTTCTCAAATTGTGTTGATGTTTTCACCATCCATCTGCACTCACTGTAGCTTGTACTATTGCGTTTAGATCGGTGCTTGAGCGTGTTAAAACAAGTTCGTACTTAACATTAACAATAATACGATGATAATCTTCAGCGAATCCCAATAGCATATTTAATGGCAATAAAATGACAAAGTATCATTTGTTATCAATTAGCTGTTCATCATTGACAATCCAGCCTGTATTATCTAAATAATTTAATTGACCTGGATGGAGTGATAGATATCCTTTATTACGCATGATTTACACCAGGATTACCACGTTTTAATTGTTTCTATAATTTTGTTCTGGGTCCACAATACTTATATCCAGAAATATGTAACTCAAATGGCAATTTATTTATGATAGTATTGATTAAGCCGGGGCCACGTCTGTACTGTGTCATGACCCAAGCCATACTGAAATTATGTTTATAACAGACAAGTATATATACTCTGGCTCTTTAGTTAACATGAAGATGAATTTCGAGCAACAAAGAACTCAATTACCGTTGTCGAACTTCGCCACAATCTGCAAAAACTCAATGTCATGGTAATTTATTACCGAGTGGGGTTAGCGGCGTGGAATGTGGGCCCTTAAATGGCGGTAAAACAAAAGCTCACTTAGCTCTTATTGTACACCCAAATGGATTACGATTCGAAAAAATATATTTATATTCAAAATCCATACATCAGCTAATACATAATTTTTTACAAAAATTACTTGAACCTGTAGAAGGTATGGGTTTTCTTTCTATTGATAAACATGAAGAAGTTATGAAACTTGCGCAAGCAAAACCAAATTCACTAGTGATATTTGATGATGTGGCATGCAAGAAATAAGATAATATGCATGCTTATTCTTGTATGGGACGACACAAAAATGTAGATAGTTTTTATTTCTGTAAAACTTATACACGCATTCCCAAACATCTGGTGCAAGATAATACAAATTTTCTTGTGCTTTTTCGATAACATGATATAAATTTAAAGCATATTTATGATGATCATGTAAACACCAATATGTCATTTTCTGACTTTTGAGAACTTTGTTTCAAATGTTGGAATAATAAGTATGGATTCGTCGTTATCGAAAAAGATAGAGAAATCAATTGTGGACGTTATAGAGAAGGATTTGATTGCTTTATGCATATATAAATTGGACAACAATAAGAGAAGAAAAAAACATATGCGTCACAGACATTAAAGTGTTGGTATGAAAATAAGAAAAATGCAGAATCAAGCTGATATTTTGCATCAAATTGCAAAAGCGAGTGATGCAATACGACGTAAACATAAAATCGCTGAACATGGACGGGAAATAACTCGACAAGCTATGAACGAAATGTTTAAACGCTTCGTAACTCCTTCACAACAATTAGTGGATAAAACACCGATGAAAACACGAAAATATGATGTGAAAAAGGAAATCTAATCAAAAAAAATTCCATAGAAGGAGCTACAAGCTTTCAAACAACACGTGATGATACGATTGATTATGATGTGGATAATAGTGCAATAACTGATGATGAATCTTTCACTAATGCTCCTTATCAATGTACGCCGATAAAAGAGTTACCTGCAGTATCATATTTGAAGAAATTCGATTAAAAACATCAAGTGAAGGAATAAGATACATAGTTCGGTGTAAGAAAATTAAAAAATAAACTGATGATTGGTAACTCTGAAGCAAGATTCGATGATAAATTTGTTTACGTTAGTAATGTAAAATATAAAAGTACTTCTGGTCTCTTATAATTGCTTTTTTGGAATCGTCTTATCAAAATACTACAGCATAAAGTGACGAAAAAACTCATGGGCAAATTCTAAATAGCCCTTTTGCCCATTCTGAACATTATCACTCTGATAAAAATCTTCGAGAGAATAAATATTCAGAAAAATATCATAATATTATCAGCAAATATTTACTGAAAAGTGGTAAAGGTTTGCCGCAATATATGATAAATCATAATCGACCACTCGACTATGTTTATTGGGATGATCCCAATGAACTTGTTGAACGATTGCATATACTTGTTTTATCACGTTCTGCTGGTAATTTTAGCCATAATCATGTCAATTATTGAGGAATTACGTGATGCTAGAATTATCTATTATTCAGATGCTTAATATCATCACTCATTGATCAATTGTCTCTTGAAGAGTGAGGATGAGTAGACATTTTTGGACATCAGTGGGACAATGCTTCACGAAAAAGTGCTGTCCGCAGTTCACCTGGTAATAGATTTAAATTAACAATCAATAAACAATATGATATCAATAATAAAAGATTGGGACATACCGAGATTTTAAAACAGCTGGAGTAGAATGTTCAGAAAAAATTGAAAGGAAGACCTAAAGCTTTGTTGCTATGAACAAGAAAAAAAACAAAATCTAGAAGAGCTTCATAGATCAGTGAGAAGAAATTATCAACGACTACATGTGGATATACGTGGTCTTGATGAGACTTGACAAGCTGATCTTGTTGATATAACTGCATATAAATCCTACAATGAAGGATATCACTTTTTATTGAAAGTTATTGATATTTTCCCTAAATACGCTTAGACTATACCAAAGAAACTAAAAATGGTAAAGATGTCACTGCTGCAATGATGACTATTTTAATCGAAAAAAGAGTTCTGAAGCATTTACACGTTGATAGAGGTAAAGAGTTTTATAATAAGGATTTTGAAGGACCTATAAAACAGTATAACATCAAAGTGTACTGAACATTCAGCAATCTCAAAGCATCAATTTGTGAAAGATTTAATCGAATCGATTTAAAAACAAAATGTGGAAAGAATTCACCTTCAACGGAAATTATAAATGGATTGATCTGCTACCGAAACTTTTATCAACATATAACAATACTAAACATTGTACAATTAAGATGAAACTCATTGATGTGACTTCAGCCAATAAGAAGCAACTAATTGATACTATTTATAAGAAACTCAAAGTTGTGAAAATAAAAAAGAAGAAAGATAAGTTTAAAATTCGTGATAGAGTTCCAATAAGTAAATATGAAAATGTATTTGAGAGAGGCTACACTCCTAACTGGACCACTGAAATTTTTACCATCAGCAAAGTTGAAAATACTCATTCAGTGACTCATAAATTAACCGACTATCAGAACTAACCAATAAAAGGCGGTTTTTAGAAAAATGAATGAATTAGAGTCCAATATCCTGATGTATATCAGGTTGAAAAAGTTCTGAAAAAACGTGAAAATCAAGCATATGTAAAGTAGTTGGGGTTCAGCAATGAACAAAATAGTTGGATAAATTAAAATGATATATAGTTTGTTTGAAAAACTAAACTTGTAATTATAACAAAAACTTATAATTATGACTATAAGAAACTCATAATTATCAGATAAATTATAATAATGATAATATAACTTATGAAAGATCAATTAGAACTTATGAAATGATAATTATAAATTATAACGATGATAATTGAGCTATGAATATTGTTACTTATAACTATGGCAATCGAGCTATGACAATTGTAACTTATGAATATAAAATTTATAACTCATAACTTTAATATTTTATAACTTGTAATTGTTTTAATAAAAATATAAAAATTATGAGAATTGCAAAACCTATATAAATTGCCTTCTCAAACATAACTTCAGGTCCTTTCATTTCAATAATAACAATATCATCATCAAAATAATGCTGCTATGGAAATTAGATTGAGATATAGGAGTTTGTGCGCCCTATCTTCCTTCCCATTCTGTAATTAATTTAATATCTCGATAATTACGCACATTTTCTATCGTTTTGCATGAGTTTAGAAAAGTTTTCTTCAAAATAATTTTTAGCCTGTTCTCTTATATTTGTATTCAAATCTATGTATTATTTTAACTAAGCTGGTTGTTTAAAGTGTAGAACTCTATAAATTTTTGTAATTTTTAAACCAAGTATAATACATTGTTGTAAATTTGTATAGTATATTACATATTCATTCTTTGGCAATAAAGTCGTCATCAGCTTTTTACATTTACTATCTGATGATTGCCAATGTTCAGAGCATAATGGTAAATCTTTATGATGTTCATGTAATGATTGTGGATAATCTAGGTCTACTTCAAAAATATAGCCAAAAGAAGAATTTTTAGGAATATTTAAAATTAAATTATTAATATTTTTATTCAAATCAAAATTATCAGTAACCCACTGGAAGGAAACAGTCGGTAAATATTTACTCATTGCAGCACCATAAAGATTATTTACATCAAAATATTAGATATGATTCATCTTTGTTTTGATTAAATTTATCTCCCATGTAATGATTATTATTATTATTATTTGCATATTTATTACTACATTGAGATACGCTACCTCTAATACCTTTTTCAATAAAATGTAACATCTCAACATCCTCTAAAGGATCAAGTTTTATTTCAGTATATTTTAACATAGCATCAAAAGTTAGACCAGGTGCAGTCAAATAATGTAATGGATCTAAATTGTACACAGTTAGGCAATTTATACGAAAATTTTCAAAGATATCTGCTAAAAGGAAAATATCAATTTTTAAAATAAATCTGAATATTCATCCAGAGTTTGAAACTGTAACTTATCCCACACAGTAAGTGCATGTTGATAGTCATCATCTGAGATATTTTTATCATTCAATTTTGAATAAAAGGCTGATTGTGAAGGGAGCTGAGTCTTATTAAATTTATCCCAATCATCTATATATTCATATGGGAAGACGCCTTTTTTTACTACTAATTTAAATTCATCAAGATCATTATAGAACTTTTTAGTAATATTTTTATTATCATCATCTAGAAACGATGATAATTTATCAATGCTACTTGCTATAAATCTAAAAGAATCTATGAATTGTAATTTAATTGCTATTCCACGAGGTCTTTTTTTATTGTTATTATTTGTACAAAAGTATTCTCTACCAACTGTCTCTGTAATAGTTATATATTTTTATTTGTTCACTGACAACAAACTAATATTTCCTTCAAACGAATTTGCCAATTCTTTAATTAAAAAATAGGAATCATAGCCTGAAAGGTTGTGAAAAACCACTGAAATTTTATGAGACAATTAATAATTCAAATTGCATTTATTGTGTGCAGAGCCTCGATAATTACCGGTATAATAACAATGATCATAAATTTTTGTTTCATTTTTTAAAAAGACTTGGTTTCAAACGTGATATTTTTTAGCTTAATTATGATCTTTATGCTGCTAAAGAGTTAGTTTTTTCATTGGCACAACATGTTCAATAGTTCCTTTGACATGTTCAGCTAATCTGTTCAATTTCAAAACAAACCAATTAATACAATCATTACCACGATTCAAGAAAAACTGAGATTTGGACTTATCAAATGAACAATGAACTTAGAATGCAACACTGCATGGTATATGACTCTGATTATCATCGTCCGCTTCAAGTAAACATTCAAGATTAGCATATACAAATAAAAATTGTTCCTTATTTTTATAATTCATGAATTTAATTTTTTATTTTTTTAAAAAAATTTATTAAATTTAAAAATTTTTAAAGATTGTTCATCAGTTTTGTTGTCTATACTCACTTCAACTTAGTCACTTTCAAAATAAAAATGTTCAAAAGCTATTATACACTTATTTATATGAGAGATAAAACAACCCCGCAACGTCACTAAATTGTATCATTGTTTTATTTTCATATGACATCACTTTCTTCAGAATTTTCTTGAAACTAAAAAGTATTACCACACACATATAGTAAGAATCCACCTTTCAAATACTTTCTTTTCATTCATTAGTTTATTGAAAACTCATATGTTCACTTGGTGACTTCCGAAATTAGAATGCATAAACAGGGCCACCATTTATATGTTTATATGAAATAAAATACTACTTTCAAGGGTCACCTTATTTTTATCGTTGTTATTCAAGTGACGTCGCTTCTAAGAAATAATTTTATGGCGTTAAAACGTCATCACACATGGTTAATAAAAACTAGTCTCCAACGTAATCTGATAGTCGTATGTGACGTCATTTCAAAGAAATATTATTATCGTTCGATCATAACATCGATAAAACTGCAGAAAGAAAACTACGTACGAAGGACAATTATTTGTAAATCAAAAACGTGATTCTGTGTAACAAAGCAACTGTGTAAACACCCTGTGAAAAATTATTTTAAATATGGAAAAAAAAATTTAATTCATCATCGATATGGAGGGGTTTATGGTGGATAAGAACTTTATATGCAAAGAATTGAGTTACATCAATGTTTTTTCTGGAGAAGTTAAGTTACGATTCTATAAAATTGGAAAGTTTGAAAATTCATCAAAAGAAGATGAAAAAATTGCAGCAGTTTGCTTGCATTATGTTCATGGAATGCTTTTTTGTAATCAATATGGTGATGAACAACAATTAAATCTTGATAGATTTTTGCTAAAAATTGCCGAAGAAGCTGAAGAAAAATAATTATTTATAGCTTACAAGGGTGGCAATTTTGAAGAATCAAAGTTGAGGAAGTTACACATCAAGAATTATATCAATCTGGAGTCCATTGGATGTCCTAAATTCGAAGTCATCAGGCAATATATTAAAGGAGAAGATAAAACAGCTTTTAATATTATGGAAAGTTTAACATGTGGACGACATTTTAAGCTAAATGCACCAAAAAAGTTGCCCTTTGTCCAAAAAAGAGGTGTTTTGTTTTAAATTGTTGAGAAAATCTCAACTTTGAATAACCTAACCGTTTAAGGATGGGGATGATTGTGTCGAAACAGAGTAAACAGAAGTCAGGTATTCTAAAAAATATAATTTCTTTATTTTTTAGCACCAACAATACACAAGATATGCTAATAGACTTTTTGTTACTGAATAAGACGACTGAATGTCGTGGGAAATCACTAAATGTAATTTTTTGATTTACTGAGTTTTTATTAAATGTTTAAGAAATGCTTAACTTGGTGTGTTTGGTATTATTGACCTCCGACACGAGCTCAACACGCTTCTCAAGTCAAGAAGAAGTGATTGTGCACGTGGCGTTAGCCTATCAATGCAATGCAAAAATGAATGTTGATTTTCTTATGTGAATGTAGCACAACTTGTCCACAAATATAATTTTTTTCTTCTACAGAATGACAGTGTGAATGGTTTCGGTGAATTTAAGTTGCACTAGTACTAATGATTGACTCAGAAAATGAAGAATTAAGAGAAAAGAATTAGACACCGTGTACACGTGAATGAGAATAGGAAAAAAATGGCAACAGAAGCTTCATTAGTCGAACAGGACACTGAAAATTAGTCAAATGAGTGACTAGATTGAGAAATATTGATTATTTGGTTATTGACCCAGTCCCTGTCAGCTGGCAATTTAAATTGAGAATTGATTAATTCTCAACATAAATATTTTCTAACAAACATGTACTGAGTAAAATAAATAAAATAATTTTTATAATTAATCGGTTTGGATTACCTTTATTTGAAAAACATAAGTCAAACATTCTAATTTCAAAACATAAATAAATTAGCTTAGTATGATATTAGAACAAGAAATACGTCATAGCAAACTTATAGTTCCTTTAGTCTGCCCCGCCACCCCTGCACTTAGCCACGGGGCCATTGTACTGGGTCCAAGCTTGTGGTAAAGGCGGTCTTAGGTGGGTTGGTACAGCCCGGCCTCGTAGCAAAACTGCAGAAGCCTGTCCGTCCCGACCGTCTCAAGAATGGGTGCGTCGGTCCCAAGGTTCCCTAACAGGCGCTGCCTGGGTTCCCTTAGCCCCGAGCATTCCCTTATCATGTGGAGAGGCGTCTCTTCCTCCTCACCACACCACCGGCACGCGGATTCCTCTCCGCGTCCCAGCATCTTCATATGGCGTCGAGTTAGCCAGTGCCCTGTGACGGTGCCCACGGCCACTCTTAGCCTTCTTTTATCCAGTTCGATCAGGTCCCTACTCACTTGAGTTGTGGGTTTCCTGATGAACACTCTGGTGTGCCTCATCCCCGAGGTCTCCGCCCAGTAGCTGGTGAATCTTTTGTGCAGCCACTTGTCCCCCAGCGCCTTCACAAGTTCCCCGGGAGCGTTTATCTCCACTGGGCCCCTGTCACCTCCGCCGCTGGCGCCAATACGGGCCAGCCTGTCAGCTTCGGTGTTGCCGCGTAT